ATATATATATATATGTATGCAAAGTAATATTTATATACATAGTAATCAACTCTGTAGTATAAATAACTAAAAGTTAAATGTTAAGTCAGGCACAGTGGCACACACCAGTAATCCTAGCACTATGAGAGCCTCACACAGGAGGAATGTGACTTTGAACCCAGCCTGGGGAACTGAGCTACCTAGCAATATCCTGTTGCAAAATAAAAGATTAAAAAGGGCTGGGATGAACCCTGGCTCAGTCCTTAGGCCTGAAAAAAAAAAGGGCTCATAAAAGCAAAAAATTAAAATACAATGATAAAGAATACAAAAGTACAAATATTTGTAAAAACATTTGACAACACTTCATTTAGATCTTGGAATTTATCTCTTCATCAAAATACATTATTTTAAAAACTAGAATGAAATGGAAGAATAGTTCCTGTGTCCATTCTAAGATCAAGCAGAAGATTTAATTAACAAATTCTTCCCAATCTGCAATAATCCATTTTTAAAAGAACAAAGACAAGGGCGAAACAAATAACAGAAAAAAAAATTGCAAACAAAATGCTTGCATCTGAGAGATTTTTTAAAAAAATGACTTTATAGAATTTGGATGATAATGTTAGATCACTGGGGAAAAAAACATAAAAAAATAAAAGAGTTGGAATGGAAAATTGAGAACTACTCAGAGCTAACACCTTTAACATTTGGGCCCGAGTCCTTCTGGTTACCTTCTTGGGCATTTGAAGCATGCAGTTAAGAGTACCTGTATCACAAAATGAGATCAAGACCATATTTTAGATAGTAATAGAATATATATCACTAAACGATAACATAAACATCTCCAAGTCCAGTAAATGTAGATTTATTATCTTATCATTTTATTTTTCAAAGCTCAACATTCTGCTAAAATGTATCACTTCATTCCTAGTCCTGGGCATTTTTCACACATACACGAAGGTAATGTATTAGAATGTGCACTAAATCTGGAATTCCATTCCTTTCTGGTGTGCACTCTGACACAGCAGAGAACACAGGGCTTTCACATCAGCTCTTAAGTGAAATCCTGAACTGTGCTAGTTACTATTTCTTTGGCCTCAAGGAATCCTTCAGCCTTGGAGCATCATGTGGAAGAGGGAGAGGATATGAGAGTTTGTATAGAAAATGCTTTCCAGTATGGTGGCACATGCCTGTAATCCCAGTGCTCTGAAGGCTGAGGCCAAGGACTGGCTGCAAGTTCAAGGCCAGCCTGAATTACAGAGTGAGACGTTATCTCAAAAAACAAAACAAACAAACAAAATGTTGGCAAATGGCAAACATTGAATACTTTTACTTTTTCAAAATATTGAGCTTCATGTGAGAAATTAATGTATATAACTCAACACTGTTGTACTAACCTAGAGGTGGCAATAAATCTAGGTCTCAATACTATGTTTGCAAAACATGAAAATAAGACTCGTTACCTATCCTCTATAATGCTATCAAGTTTTAGAAATAGTTGTAATACAACAATTAAATTGAGAAGCTGACTCTAATATGTACATAAAATGCAATTTTGAGAAGAAAAAAAAGATTGGAAAACTACTTTCTTTCAGAATTTACAGCAATAAAGAAGGCACAGTTTAGGTATTAATGCAGACATACAGATCACTAGAACAATATAGAGAATCCCGAAATGGGTCCACATGGTCAATCAATTTTCAGCAAATGTGCCAAGACAGTGAGTGCAAAGAGGAAAACACACAATGATGGAACACACAAGAACTTTCTGGCATCATGAAAATGTCTCATAACTAGACAGTGGTGATGGTTATATACTGCTACACACTTGTTATAACTCAAGAACTGTATACTCAAAACGAGTGCACTTTATTGCATGAAAGTTACACCTCAGGAAAGCTGAAGGAGCAAAAAGAGGTCAGTATGAAAAGACATGCTCAAGACAGATTACTAAAGATGATGACACAAAGTACAGCAACTATGCTAACAAATCAATAAGAAGACTATTACTGAACAGATGACAAAGATTTATATAGGTTATTGGTAAAAAAAAGTCCAAATATCTACTCAACATGATGTTTAGCTGCATGAATAATAATAAAGGAAGCACAAACTATAACAGAAAGCCACCATCTCATGATTTCAGAATAAGGAAATGAGAAAGGTGAATTCTCCTACACAGGAGCGTGGTCGCTGGAGACACCAATTTACCAACATCTGGCAAGGCTGACAAAGGCTCACGGCTCCTCACCAGCACTGTACCTCCGGGTTCTTGGCCTAGAGAAAATCCTGTCCATGCACAGGAAGAAGCACCTACAGGAGCCTGCATCTCGAGCTGTTGGTAATAGGAAGATTAGAAATCAATTGGTGTTTACAAATAGAGAAGTAGAGGAATAAATGTCGGAAGTAATTAAATAGTCAAAAGACTATCCATATGTAGTCCAAGTCTACAAATATAATGCTGAGGAAAATGTTGTAGAGGGGCATATGCAGTATGAGAACATTTCTGTGGACTTAAAACATGGAAACCCATGCTTGAAATGGATCAGATGGATCTGCACATATCTATGATGAGAGAATTTAAGGCAAGGGGAAAGAAGCAAATGGGTCTAGAAGAGAAACAATGGTGATTCTGACATTACTTAACTGTTTAGGTTATTTCGAAAATCTAGAGCAAAAATGTCCAAAGATTAGTATTTTCTTATCCTAATACATAGTTAAGTAATGCTCTGTAAATCTCTATAATCTTAAACATTTCAAAATAGAAATAGCAAATTTAAAACCTATTAAATAGGAAAGACTGAAAAGTAGTAACTTTTAATTAAACTACTACACTCTGAGATAACTCGAAGCTCAAAATCAGTGTTTACCGTGTCAAATTCAGTATGTATTTTAGAGTCTAAAGTTTTTACTAATCCATTGTTGCTTTTCATGTCAAAAGCCATTCTACACAAATTTTGGGGGGAAAATCATCTCATAATTAAAGTATGACTGTAGCTGTCTAAGGCCCAGTGTCACCTTGCCCTGGAGCATGACACATGGAAGCATAACTCCCTTTTGCCTCCTGTCACAGCTGAGACCTCAATGGTCCCCTGATGCTGTGATGCTTAAGGGTGAGATCACATCAGCTGAAGACATCCTGGTTCTTGAGAACCCAGTAGCGACACAGAAAGAGAATGGTCTCACCTGAGGGACAAATCCCTTGTCAGCTTAACTCATCCCACCTATTTTAGGAATGCTCTCCTTTCCATCCTCATTACTGTGAGATCCTCATGGACATCGGATCACTGCTGCCCCCTAATCACCCCATGCTCCCTCTAATTATTGTTAGACCCTGTAAATGATGGCTAATTGGAGAGTCCTTGTCTTTGCCCACTCTGAGGTAATGACCTCCCGGCCCCCCATATACTTTGAAATGGTCTATTTTTCTTTAGCCTTCACCTAACCCTGTCCCCCTTTTTAGGCAGTGAGAGGATTCATTGGCCTCCAATATTCAAGTCTCTAGAATCTGCAGATTCCCATAAAAACCATACCAAATTTTAAGGTCAAGCAATAGAAGCTATCCAGAGATTTCTGGCTACATGACTAAATCAGTCTTTTTTTGTCCACCAGTGCAGCAGATCAAACCTCTGCCACTGAGCTACGTCTCCAGGCCTTAAACCGTCTTTCACTAATGAACTGTCGCTGTAGGGCACTGTCCTGCTCATCACTTCGCTGGCCCTTCATGCAGTCACCGTGCCCACCCACATGCTATCCGAGGCCCACAGGCCCAGGGAGAGTGCTCATGACTCACTTTCTCATTTGGCTGGTTTATTACCTGGCCATGACTCCCATACTAACCTTAATTCTTTAAGTGCACATGAACATTGTTACCGGGACCTTTACATATTAACAAAGGAACTTCCATTACTCTATTCAACTATACAAGCATATATAATCAATCAACCTAGCAGGTGCCCTCCTTTTTATTAGCCTCAATATACTTAGTGCCTTTATCTGATTAAAAAAGAATCATACAGCAAGTATTATTCATCTCAAGTATCACTCACCTCTGGATAAAGATGGAATCGTTTCACTGCATTAATTACAAGGGGATACTCAGTAAGCCTGTCATTCATAATCATCCACAGGCCTTCCAAAAACGAAGGTGCTTCAATAATAGTCTTGAAATAAGAATAATAGAGTCCCTTTATAAAAAAATAAGACGGCACATATGGTCAATATAAATAAAACCTCAAAATATTTTATTTCATTTTTAATTTTGTATTAGTACATGTTAATATTACAGACAGAGGGGCTTGTTTGGGGAGGTTTGTAGGTGCATTTAACATATCTCCATCACTTTCAACCCCACCCAGCCCTTTCCCTTTCCACCCCACTCCTGGTGATATCCTTCCTCATCTTCAAAAGTCCACCTCCTCCTGGTTACCTGCTGCCTCTTCTTTTTTTTTTTCTTTTTTATTTAACTTCTCAAACATGTGATATTTAACTTTCTGGGTCTGGCTAATTTCACTTAACATGATGGTTTCTAGTTCTATCCATTTTCCTACAAGTGATATGATTTCATTTTCTTTGTTGCTGAGCAAAGAATATTTTTATAACTTTTTAGAACAGAATTTTCTGGAAAAAGAAAGAGTAATAATAAGAATTCCTAATTACACCTCCATCTGCATTAGTGGGCTCTGACAGCATGTATTTTCAGATTATTACTGAACTATTCCACCAATTTTTCTGTTTTTGAGACAGAGTCTTGCTATGTAGTTCTGGCTGGCCTTGAACTTACACGTAGCCCAGGCTGGCCTACAACTTGTGGTAATACTCCTGCCTCAGCCTCCCAAGTGTTGGGATTATGAGCATATGTAATCACATCTGGCTAGCTTTTCTACTAGAGCGATTTAAAGTAAGTATATGATACACTTTTGACTTTACCCCTGTGCTTGGAATGTGTCACAATTCTATCATAATTATGGACCCTGAACAAATTTGCATACAATCCTTTTCCCCCACACTCTTAAAGAACATGTCATGATCACGAGCACACCATGGGAATGGAACTTCATGCTTTCATCTTATTTCACAGCCCCATGTCTGCCTCTGCACAAGGGGGAGTGGAAACGTTGGGTGGCTGGAAACAATTGGTGCTGGAAAGGGGGTGACCTTAGTGACCATCACTCCCATGTACAAAATCATGGCTTTATTAGGCCATCAAGGGGCTGCTGATTTAAAACTTGGGGATTTTAAAAAAACATATTGTTTCATATTAGTTCCCTCGTCAATATATCATTTTCAAGTAGAATGAAAAGCAAAGGACAACATCAATTTTAAAAGCAAATAACGGGTCAAAGGGTTTAAAAATAAAAAAGGGTCAAATAAAGGGTTTAAAACACTCTCCTCCCTCCAAAAATTAAAAATAACCTACACTAACTTTATATTCACTTGTTTTATTTCACTATTTTATTCCTTACACACACAAGTTTCTTTTATTCTGAATTACACTTATCAAAATTCCCAAAATTACTATTTATAAGATCCACTGATATTACATTTTTAATACCATGAGCACATAACAGCTTTTAAAAACCCAAGTTCACTCAGTTTTCTTGGTATAACATTTATTTTATCTCTCCTGACTATAATTACAAAGTTATAAGCACAAATGGTACAACCACATTTATTCTTGAGAGGATTTTGGTGTCTGATAATACCTGGCCATTGGGCAACATCCAGTAATGGTTCCATTCATCAAAGACAGTGTTTTATTCAACTTTCTAAACACAATGGAAGATTTATTTTGAATTAAAGGGAAAAGGCCAAGTTACAATACAAAATCAAATTTTTTTTTTCACTTGGTAGAAGTTGAAGCCAATGTATAATGCCAATCAAACATCTGTCCCATGTCCCATTTTGCATTTTTAAGGGTCTGCAAGATCAAGGTCCTTGTGCTTGCTTTGGTTTGCTTTTCCCCTTTCCTGTATGCTTTTCCTCGGCGCTGGGGATGGAGCCAGGGCCTTGAGGATGCTGGACACCCACTCTGCCACCTTCCCCGTCCCTTTCACTTGCCCTCAGCCCTGTGTCTGCCTGGGGCTCTTCCCACCTGTCCTGGGTTCTTTCCACGGTGGTCTAAAAGAGTTTTCTAATTTTCTATGTGCCCATTTCCATATTCACATCATTTTCCATCTTTCACCACACACTGCGTTTTCTTTTGTCAGTGTGAGAGCCTCCAGCTGCTATCTTGAATATCTCTTGCTATAACGCCACTCTACTCTGAGAATACTTCTAAGTCTGTTAAGCTCTACTGAGGCATTGTTTTCTCTTTTCAGTACTCATCTGCAGAGAAACTCCTGAGAGCACAAGATGCGGGCAGATCCTGTGAACCGGAAGTCCTCTGCTTTATTTTTTGTTCATTCATTAATTTTATTGGTACATTTTAGTTACACAACATGCTGACTTTCATTATTGGAAATTTGTACCTTTACATAACATATCTTGGTTTTATTTTTTCCCCATTCCCCTGTCCTCCCTTAAACCCCTCCACCCCTCCCTATTTATAAAGACTTTGTTTCCATTTTTTCCTTTTCCCATATTTATTCCTTTCCCTTCTTTTCTTTTCCCCTACCCCTACCACTTCTCCATCCTGTCAGCTTCTAAAGTGAAGATGTTTGAACTGATGTCTGACCCAGCCAGTTTTTCATAGTTTTGACTACCAAATATGAGTTCATAGGTTTCTTTAGATGCACAACAAAGTGTTATAAAAATTAAAAAAATATCTAATATGCAAAAACCTGTATACAGGGAAATGGTAAATATATAAATATGAAGTATGACCTAAAAATATGAATGTTTAAATTAAAAAAGTATTTATAGTAAAGTAAAAGTCACATTGCCATTAACCTTCCTGAAAATCTTCCCCTTAATTTCAAACACACTTATCCCATCCCTCTTGCCGCTTTCTGAGCAGTGCAGAAAGTTCTCTTTCGCATCTTTAGTTGTACTGTTGTGGCTGCCTCGATGTCCTGAATCCATTGAAAACATTCACATTGCATGCTCATTTTGACTTTGGGGAAGAGCCAGAAGTTACATGGGGCCAGATTCGTTGAATCAAGGGGATAAGGACACATTATAATGTTTTTATTTATTTACTTAGTTTTGGGTACCGGGGATTGCAAGGCAGGCCACCGAACCGCTGAGCTAAATCCCCAGCCCTATAATGTTTTTATTTGACAGAAATTTAAAATTATTGAATTGATTCCGGACATCAAGGCAGCCAGGACAGCACAACTAAAGACATTCACCAAAGAGGACTTTCGGAGCTGCTTCAGAGTGGTCAGTGTGGTGGGATAAGTGTGTTAAGGGAAGTGAGGAGGAGTATTTGGGGGAACAGGTGGGTAATGACGATATGTCTTTTACTGTGGTACAGTATAGCTCTAAAACGGCCCCCAAAGCTTCACGCGTTTGGAAGGTGACTGGATTATGGGGCATTTAGCTGATGTGCTCTTAGCGGGTGGAGCCTGGTGGGAGAAGACCGGGTCACTGGGGGCATCACCTAGAAGGTTAAATCTCCTTCCGGCTCCTCCGTCTGCTTCCTGTTCCCTAAGAGGTGAGCAGCTTTTCCCCTCTAACATGCCATCCTGCCTTGGAGCCAGCAGAGTAGGGCTGAAACCGTGAGCCAAAATAAACCTCTCCTCCTTTAAATTGAGGGCATCAAGTATTTTGTCCCAGCATTGAAAGAAGGGACTGACACATGCTGTCGCACACATTTTTAAAAACTTAAGCATTCACCATACATTTTGATTACACCATGTAAGTTTTTTATTAATAATAAGATATTGTTTTGCACCAGGTACTGTAATTTGTGCCTCTGTTCATTTATCTCCTTTCATTTTTACAAGAACCCTGTGTGGTCAGCATTATTTCTGACGAACAGAGGAGACGACTCAGTACCAGGATGTCCAGTTTTTCAGAGCACTACAGGGATTACACAGATGAAATAAAAAGCGGTGGCTGAAGTATCTAGTATTCTGGAAAAATTGATACAGACAGAAAGGAGGAACGTGTAACAACACTCACTAGAAATCCATTTCCTTCCTTTTGCTTTACAGTCTTACTCTAAAGCACAGATTAACTCATTAGGAGAAAGAACTAACCATTTCATTGCGAAAAGACATCTCCCGTTCCAAAGTCGAGAGGTGAGAAAAACGACGGTCATTCTCAAAAAGTGTTGTTAAATGCATCCTTGGGGAAAAAATGAAATAGTACATTTAAATCAGAACAGGTTTCAGAATCAGTACTGCTATTACAAAGTCACAGGTAAGTAAGGTAAGAAAGCCATGGAATGGAAAAGATAAATTTTTATAACAAATACAGAGTCAATGCTATAGTTGTTCATGAACTTAGTATGTTTTGGGGCATTTATAATCCAGTGCAGCACACACTTTCTTAACTCTGTTCTTAATCTTACTTGTGTGTATATCTAAAATCCTGTGGCTCTCCCCTCTCTTCCTTCTACCCAGGCCTCTAAATGAGAACACAGGCAGGCTTTTGTTCAACAAGATTCAAATGCAGTGGACCCTTGACTTAGGAACTCAATTCATTCCCGAAGCCTGGTTGTAACTCAGATTGGCCAACTGAAGGCTCAGTCTCCTCTACACAGCTTTCAAAGTCTCTCTCCTGTATACAGGAAGATCTCAGTGTCCTTAGAGAGACATTAGCCCAGGATTTCTCAATTTCCCACACAGGAAAGGACACTATCATGTTCCTTCCAGAACTCTTTAGGGTTAAATCTGTATCTGAGGCCATCCGGAAGTACAAGTTGCTGGCATTTGGGTCACAAGTCAAGACTCTGTTTATAAGTTAAAACTAAGATTCCAGTCTTAACCCAAGTTGTTTGGGTGTCAGGCTGGTCATAGCTCAAGGGTCGACTGTACCACGTTTGGGAGATACCTGTGTGACTGTTGAAAAGTGTTCAGAATATAATTTTAAATAACATCACTTTAGTTCAAATCAGTTTTTAAATAATTATAACACTGCATGAAGGTACAACTTTAAATGCCAAAGAACGCAGGATTGAACTGGAAGATATTTTAGTAGTGCAACCCAACAAGAACTGGCAGTGACAAAAGGATCATATGTGACAAACAAATTCATTTGTGGTCAGTAATTGTGCAGTCCTTAATTTACGTAGTGCTTTTCAATGAAGTCAAAAAGGAGGCAAAACTCTGGTTCTTCACTTACCCCTATTTCCATGTGGGTCACTGGTACCCACAGGGGCTGGTGCCTGCCTCCTACCATCCCAGCCCTAGCGCTTGACACCAAGAGCTCCCTGGAGGCCCAGCAGCTACAGCAGCACTGTGCCCACAGAACGTGGGGCGGACCCCACCCTTCCCACAGTAAAATCCCTGGAGGAGCTCAGGAGGAAATGAGAGCATTCCAGAGGGAAAGCAGCCTCATTTTCCATACAGTTACAAATAGAGCATGTTATGAAATCCAGTGCCTGTGCATACACACTGAAGGCCCAGTCATTTAATTCTTCCCGGACCAGAAGGAACCTGTTCACTCCTACTGCTTTCCAATTGGCAAGCATTGCTAAAAACTTTATGTCACTAACACAGTTACCACCCATATAAAATAAAGAAATTATTGAGTAAACTTCAAAATATACTAGAAATATACTACAAAAGCTATATATACAAGAAACACACATAAAAAGATACAGTGGTAAATTCTTTGGGAAAGCAAAGGTATTTTAATTCACACGTTACTATTTCCCTAATGCATCTGTTTTGTAAGTGCTGCTTCACACATGAGGTTTGTATAATACAAAGTAATACACATGCCTATAGTGGTACACTTAGAGAGGTTCTATACACACAGCCAGAAACTACTTTATGGTATGCTCATTGTGATGGCAAATTTTAATCCAATTGTTTTTTTATTTCAACTGAAACTAAATCTTACCAATGCAAAATTCCCACAAAGGCAGCTGGAAAAAGAGAAAAAGAACATAATTAGGCGCTGCTTATTAAATCCCTTTAAACCAAGCATTTCATATGCAGTTGCTTCCATGTCTAGAGAGAGCACACACTAGGCCAGGTGGCCAACTGCTTCTGTCCTAGGAGCACAGGGACGACCCCAGGGCCTGGAGCATGCTGTGAATCCTGTTAACCTCTCCTTGTGCTCAGAGGACTGGACATCAGCAAAGGAAGAGACTGCGAGGGTTTGTATCTCACCGAGGCAGTATGTAAGAGTGAAACAAGGTGTGACTTGGATCCCTCTCTCTCCCTCCCTTCCTACCTTCCTCTCTCTCTCTCTCTCTCTCTCTCTCTCTCTTCCTCTCTTTCTCTCTCTGTGTTCAGCATTATGTTCTACTGTCTCTTCTCTTCTTCTCTAGCCCTTTGTATACAATTTTCAGAAGCAGCATATGTGAACATTATGCTCAGCAAGACTCTTCGAGGAATACTCTAGCCCATAGGAGCACTCTAGAACCCTGGACTTCACACTCCTCAGAAGATGGTTAAAGGCAGCAAAGCTCTTCCTCAGCAGCGCATCTGAAAGCCTGGCCCACACCTCCAGCCCTGAGGAACTAACCAGCAGTTCTCCTGAGCTCCCAGACCCAGGCACTGAGATGGCCCAGCACAGCCCCACGCCCGAGGCTGGACTGAGCCCTTAGTCAGATCCACAGTGAGGGGCTTACTGAAAAGCTGTGAGCTCAGTTGCCCTGTCACTGAAAAGTGCTTGTTTCCAAGGCCAGCTGGGGCTGAGGAAATCCCGGGGACATCAGGATGGCTGGGAAGAGGAAATGGAGTTGGCACAAGTTAACACATCAAACTCCATTGTTCTTAAGAAAGGTTCCACATCTTTTCTTGAATGAATGCTCTTTAGGTTGCTATAAACTTTGGGTTAATTTCCAGAGTTTTGAAAACACTGATTTTGATAATTTCCCAAGTATCCTCTCCTCATTGCCATGGATAAATGAATTTAATTAACTATTTAAGACATCCTGCTTCCATCTAAGATTTTGTAACATATTTTTTATGGTTGTCCTGAGTCATCTCACAGAATACCAATTTTACTTTAACCTCTTAAAAAATTCAAAAATTACTCAGCTTAGCAAACAAAATAAATTCAATTAAAAAGTGCAATGCTGGGCTGGGGATTTAGCTCAGCAGTTTGGTGGCCTGCCTTGCAAGCGCAAGGACACAAGTTCAATTCCCAGTACCAAAAAAATAAAGTGCAATGTTGAAATTCCCAATGATGCATCAGCTCTTTCCCCACGTGACTTCTGACCCTGGGCTCTTTTTAACACTTGTCAGATTTACTTCTTTTGTGCCTGGACCAGCAAACTATAGTCTGAGGTCTGTTTTTCTACTGCCTGTAGGCTAAAAGCAGACTTTAATGTTTTTAAAAGGTGTGACAATAAAATAAGAAAAGAAAGATGAAACAACAACAGAGACACTACATGTTCTACAAGCTTAAGTGGTTTGCCCACTGGATCTTCAAAGAAAAAGAACTGTACTACCATGTAAACATATCTTTTATTTTTGGTGGTGTTGGGACCTCAGGGCCTGGTGCATGCTAATTAAGTGCTCTCAACCCTAGGATGACACATTCTACCTAATACCTCAGAAGCTCTCTGAAATTAAACTTAAAACCTTCTCTCTAAACTCCAAACAGATGTGTCTCTGCTGAGGCTTAATTAATTGTAAAAAATATAACCATGTTAGCATTCTCTTTCTGAAAATTACACTTACTGGTAAAATTCTTACATATAATACTTAAATAGAAAGAAACGAATATGCTACCAAATGCTACCAAATTCATCTATCTTCCGAAAGATCCTAATTTTTTTTTTCTGTATCTTACAATCCCTCTAATCAACACACATTGCAAACTCACAAGAGAGGGACAGACAGAACAGGGGGATGGCGCCAATATTAAAAATGCATGCGGTGTTGATCACAAGCCCTTTCATTTGTGGTGAAAGCAACTTCTCTGCATCCCGCACCCACCTCCAGCCCCTCACCCTCCACCCCATGTCCATCTCCTGCAGCTCACCTCAGAAGGTGACCCCGCTTCTTATTTTACTAAAACAAAACCAAGGGGAACAAGGTCACTTAACTTCTTTTAGATCCACTTTTACGTGTCTCCAAACCTTTCTTCCTACAGTAATTGTTGCTTTTGTATTCATCATTTCAGACTTTGCTCTTTCAAATCCTCCTTTTCGTTACTCTTCCATCGCACGTCCTCCCCTGAATCCTTCCCTTCAGTCTTTCCTTCCAGAGCCTAAAACACTTCCTGTGAGGCAATAGCCCTTCCATCTCTCTCCCATTCAGTGTCAAGATTCTTGGCCTGTTTCTTTCTTACAGGGTTCCATAACTCTCTTAAAGGACCAACGACATTTCTGTTATCAAAATCAATGAACTCTCAATTTTTCAGCTTTTCAATCTGTCGGCAGCACTTGATTAGATTCTTACGTATTTCTCTCTAATCTGTCATACTGACTCTCCTAGTTCTATTTTTCTAAACACATTTTACACACGTAATCTGGCTTTACTTCATCTCTTAAAGTTTAAGAGTTTTCCCGAAGTATATTTCCTCTATGCCTTTTTTCTCTCCACATTGGTATCCCTTGACAATCTCATTCAATCTTAGTTTTACTTCTGCTCTTATGAAGATAAATTCCAAATCCACAATCTTCTTTTTTTTGTTGTTTGTTATAGGGGATCGAACTTGGGTCCTTGCATTGGTGAGGCAGGCAGCGGAACCACTGAGCTAAATCCCCAGACCCATAATCTTCATTCCTGAATGAACTTTCTCCTCCTTCCTCCTCCCTTTTCTTTTTCTGCCTGGCCATCTATCCGGTACGTTCCATTTGTCTCCATCAACTCTCACCTCCGTCCTCTCCTCTCCACGACTACTGTTACTACCTTCTTTTACATCTCTGGCCTGGATTCTAGTGGTGCTTTTCCAATTATGCTTTCTCTCTCCTTTCTCACTGCATCTCCATCCCTGCTATGCCTGTTGCCTAGTTCCCTGTGAACCACACTTCTGGTCAAGTTGCCCACCTATTTAAAAAATCATTCAGTGCACGAAATGCCACTGAACTTAAAGTGCTTGACGTGACTGCATCTCATTAAAAACATTTTCTAAAGAGAAGAACCAATCATTGCCTTCCAAAAGAATGAGTTTTAAGTGCCCCAAACCCATCCTTGAACTGGGCTCTCGGGACTGGTGCCAAGCGATCCTTTTAACACAATTCCATCTTCCTCTTCTTTCAGGAACTTTCCTGCAGTCTGACTGCTCTTGTGCTTTGAGAGCTCTTGACTTCCATCCTGCAGTTCTGCCTGCCCTTAATACTTATTGGCACCAGCTCCATGCATCCAAAGCTTAGTGCTTTGTTACAGTTGAAATCCCACCTTTTCCCAAATGTCTTTGCTGATTTTGCTGATCTCCTTTCCCACATCCTACCCTAAAGTATGAATTCCCTCTTCTGCGCTCCAGAAACTCATCAGGTGTCTTCTCTGTGACAGCCTCCAGCCCCCGTTGACACTTCAGGATGTGTCTATGGCCGTAATTACACAGCTGGTAAAATCTACACAGGACTCCTCATGCACTGCCACCCTGCCACATGTGGGGACTCTTTCTCATGACACCAGCCAGCCAACACACGGTGGAGACCTACAGCAATAACTTGCACGGAGAGACACCCATCCACATCCCTGTTCATATCAGCAGCCACCTCGCCATGGGCCTAGCTCACAACTGGTTCCACTGAGACGCTAACCTTTTCCTCTCTCAAGATACAGAAAACGAGGGCTGTGAATGGAGAAAGAAAAATCTTCCAATGCTTACATTTGAACAACTCTCCGATTTTAGATATTAAGACTCTACAGCAAGATTCAAGTACTTGTAAATGGGCGTTAATGCCAGGTAGCATACTGTCTACTCTGACCCTATTTCTATTACAGACAGATAAGTTAGATAGAAATTAACAGTCCGAGAGCAACTGGGCCTTGAAAAGAATGAGTGCAGGAGACATCAAAATTTGGCCGGAGACCAACAGGAAGAGAGCTAGGGCTGCAGGCCACCCTAAACATAGACAGCAACTCGATATTGTACTGTTATCAGCGCCACGGGTTCAGCGTCAGATGACTGGGTGGGGACCCCAGAAGCCCCGACCCGGAAGTTATAGGTCAGCCAAAGTTAGTGATGACTGCCATTTACCCTCCCTATTGGATCTATATCAGCTAAGCTACTACACTTGTAACCTCACCGGTCAGCCTCAGCTCGGCCCAGAATGGTCTGAAATATGGTCACTGTCCTGCATGAACCGCTCAGACAAGGAAGTTCAGCGACAACCCACTTTCGGGACTCCCTCCTGTCTCTCAGGAGCTTTATCTCAATAACCTTTTACTACTCTTAAGTTCTTTCGTCCTCATATCCGTTTTGCGGTTATTGACAGAAATGCACTCGGCACATCTGAGGTCGTTAAAAAGGTCCGGAGTCACTTCCCTGTGACATTTCCACTATTAATGACCTCAACTAATTAAAATAACACAGATATGATCAAAAGACATCACACACATTGAAGCCCCTCCCCTAAGTGAATCCAGGGCAGGGGGTAATGGAGAGAATGATGGATGTTACGTGCGTTAAAAATATGCCACAACGAAACCCTTCATCTGTAAAACTAATATGCACTAATAAAAATGCGGGGAAAAGAATCACTTCCTTTTTTGTTTTATTTTAAATGCAGAGCACCATAATGTCTGTCCACGAGAGGCAGCCAGTCATCTTTAGTCTCTGACACTGGCTGTCCTAAGGTAACTTTTTTAAACACAGGGCCAGGCGCCCTGCAGAATCCCGACGCGGCCCCAGCACCTCCAGCGTGGCACCCATAGGCCCACCTCCATCCAAGCTGCCGGCGCCCTCCCGCCCGCTCAC